CCCAGAACCTTGGATCGGGGAACAACCGTTCAATCACGCCGATATACTCATTGGAAATGTTGACCTTGGGTGCAACAACGGCGTAGATGGGCATCAGGATAAACCAGAGTAGAAAGCTGCCTGGAATGGCCAGGAAAGTGTACTTGGTCCAGATGTTGGTAATAAGCGAGGCCTTGAGTAGGACAGTTGCCAAATTAGCGGTGTACGATGCAGTGCCCCACACCCAATGGCCGGCATTGCGTCCATCCCATTGAGGCCAGTCCCAAAGAATGATGATCTGGCTACCAAAGTAGAGGATCAGAGAGTGGTAGAAGCCGTTGGCAACCCAGCTCCAGAAGCTGTGCATGCGGAAGAAGACGCCCGATTGACTCAATCTGTACAATTGTGGATATCTATCCAAGAGTCGGGCGCTGACAAACTGGTCAAAGATGCCGATGACGAATGGTGGGGCTGCAGTGAAAAAGACGTTGTAGAAAGTGAGCGTCCACGATTCGTAGATAATCTGTCCGCTGAACGCATTCTGGAAAGAATACCAAAATTGTGTCATAAACATGGCAATGTTCTTGTAGAAAGAATAGAGAATGACCTTGCTGACACGCTGATAGCTCCATGCTCCGTGGACAAGGAGTAGCTTTCGAAGGTAGCGGAATTGGCCAATGGAAATGTCGGCCGACCGTGCAGCTTGGAGGCCTTCCATACCTGATATACCAACTCCAACGTGCGCGGCTTGAATCATCGAAACATCATTCGCGCCGTCGCCGATAGCTAGAAGAATGGACTTGAGGTGTCGCTTGACTAGCTTGACGACCAAAGCTTTCTGAAGAGGCGAGACACGGCAACAGATGACAGCTTTGCACTTGACGGCGAGATCCAAGAATTCTTTTTCCATGTCGCGCTCCAGCGCATAGGTGAGTGACTTGCCGTCGATGACGAGAGCGAGGACATCCATCTCATGTTGACCACCTTGAGACTGACTTGTGATGGCTTGAAACTTCTTGCGTATATTGTCACGAGTCGCGTCCTTGGATTCCTCGTTGATGATAAGGAGAGACATGTCTTCGCTGATCAGCTTACAGCTCATGCCAATGTTAATGGCTGTTTCCTGGCGGTCACCAGTCAAAACCCAGATCTTGATACCGGCAGATTGAAGCGTTGCGATCGTGTCTGGCACACCGTCTTGCAGCTTGTCTTCGATAGCAGTCGCCCCTAGGAGGGTGAGATCGTGCTCAATGAGCTCGGCAGCTTTGTCCAACTCTTCAGCACGGTTGCCGCTAACTGTCGTCTGCGCGGTATTGTAGATCTGCCACCACTCTTGGAATTCATTTTCTGGAACCTCGCGCATAGCCAAACAAAGGGTACGCAGACCTTCAGCAGCGTACTCTTCGAGGTGGGTCAACGTAGTCTCCACGTACGGATTGTTGTCCTTGGCGAGACGTTCCAGAATAACAGTGTCGGCACCTTTGCAGTAACAGACTATCTTGCCTTCTGGCGTACGGAAAATGGTAGACATGCGCTTCCTAGTCGAGTTGAACTCGCAAACGGCCAGAAGTTCAAACTCTTGCATCCGCCCATCCGCCTCAATCTGGACAGCTCGAGGTTTTCGCGCCGTGAATTTGTATCCAAGAGTGACTGCACCCTCAACTAGGGCACCTTCGTCGGGTGAAGCTGCTTGGTATTTGATGGTGTCTTTCTCGCCTCCCCGTTCCGGAATGACGGTGTGACAGGTCGATAGCAGTGTCAGAAAATGTTTTATGATGTCGCGCGACTTGTGGTTATGTCGATTCTGTTCGAGCTGCTTGAAATCATGGATACCCACCTCGACTCCATCCTCTACTGTAGCTCGACGGTCTTCTGGCACTTCGTCTGCATATTGGATTCCCGCAATTGATGATTGGCGAAACTCCATCATATTGCATGTCAAGGTGCCAGTCTTGTCAGAGAAAATGTACTCGATTTGACCGAGCTCTTCGACAAGTGACGACGTACGGCAGTTGGCGGGTGTATCTGTGGGTTCATAATAGATGTCCAAATCTGAGTCAATCAAGGTACCTGTATAATACTTGACAATCTCGATTGTGACGAAGAGCGAAATGGGCACCAGATTGGAATACAAGACCCAGTAAGTCAAAAGATCGGAGAAGAATTGTTTCGCGCCGTTGAAGTCGCCCAGCATGAGATAGGCCAGGTTGCGGCCTCGCGTCGAACGGATAATGACATCACCGATGGAACTCACGATACTTAAACATATCAAGATAATGACAAGCATGAGAATCTGTTTGTTGACCATTCTCTCGACGGCCGTTGTCTTGATTGGGGTAGCCGTGGCGTTACGCATGAGCTTCGTCTCGTGGCCAGTGAATACGACGACGCCGTGGATCCAAGGTGTATTTCGAAGCGTGGCACCACGCAATAGTAGCTGATCGGGTTGCAGAGGTAATTCCTTTTCACCTCCGCCAGCTGCGATGGTGAGGGTGGCCTCGTAAGTGTACAGACTGCTGTTGGGCTGTTCAGAACGAATTCTGCCACCCAAGCGAGCCAACTCGGCAGGACTGACAAAGTCGGCTGTCTCGGGTATGGCTTGCTTGATTTTGAGGTTTGTCTCGCCGTCGAGATTTGCCGTTTCAATGTAGCAGAGGCCTTCTGGCTCAGAAGACGCTAAAAGGACCAGGTCAGCCGGGAAGGGAGACTCGGATTCGACTCGAACAATGTCTCCAACCGCGACGTTGATCCACTTTGTCTCTTCGAAGGTTGATCCCTTGAGCACCTGTGCTTTGGAGTTGTTCAATTGTGCATCGGACTGCTTCCGCCGATAATCTTCAATGTACTCTTTAATGGCAGAGACCAGTAACACAATACAGAGCGGAACAATGGTTGTATATTTCGACGTTGGCGAAATGCCGGGTATCTGTTGCAAGACGGCTGTGAAAAGGAAGAACAGGTTGGCGTATTTGGAGAACTGCTCGTACAGAAATTTGGGAAGGAAGGTGATGACGTTGTACTTGGAGGTAGAGATGTGGTTGTCAACGTATTTGTTCTGCGAGTTGGCGGGCGGGTTGTTCAAGTGGATGATCCTGGGACCCAGCGTCGAGGGGTCTGGCGCTCCACGGCCAAAGCCAAACTTGAAGGCGCCTGCGGCGGACTTCTTCTTCTTCTTGGGGGACTCGCTGGTGTCTTGGTAGGCCGACGGAGCGGAGTGACCCTGCTGAGCGGCGTTCTCGGTCAAGGGCAGGTCCATTTCCGAGTAGTCCTGGCCACGGCCAAACATGTTCTTGACGCGGCCGGTGAGTCCGCCGCCCAGGCCCAGAATGCTGTTCCGATTGTGGGCGTTTTTGGACGAGTGGCCCTGCATGCCTGGCGAGCCCTGCTCGAATGCGCCGCCGGCAGCATAGTAGCCCTGCATGGAGTGGTCGTCGTCGGCGGGTATCTCTGCGTCCGAGTATCGCGTGTAGGCGCTCATGTCGGACCTCTGCGAGTACCCCCGCGCACCGCTCTGCAGGTAGGGCGGTGCCGCAGGAGGTGCGCCTGGGGCTCCCGGCAGGCCTGCATTGGGCCTGCCTCCAACAAATTCGTCGTACGACACCGAAGGCCGGCCTGGGGGTGCCGCATCGGAGCTGTCGATGTCGTAGTGGTCGAGCAGTTCATGGTCTTGCACGGGCGGACGAGCGCCCGAGTAGTATGTCGGCTGCTGGTCGTGGTCGTCGAAGTCAATCAGGTTGGCGCTGTGGGACGGCGGTCCATTGGGGGGCCTCCCGGCCATAGCGGCCTCAACTTATGCGCAGGTCCTGTCCTGCCGCTGCTCCTCCGCGGTTTCCTGCGGCGATTATTTTCCTTTGGCTCCCCGGGCTGGCCTCTGCTGGTGTTGTGTGGCGGGCAGGCGGGTGCCGACGTATGGTTGAGTGCGGTGGGTGCCGTGGTGCGTAAGCTCGTCGAGACCAGGTACGCAGCTCCGTGAGACTGCCGGAAGCTTGGATGGCGGACAGGCGAGAAGGCGTGGGTGTGCAGCACAGTCGTCCGAGAGATGCCGTGCAAAGCGGCCGTCGTTTGTCGCTGCGATGGTGGTTTGAGGTGTAGAGGCCACTGTCCGCAAAAGTTTGGGTGAGCTGTGAAGTCGACGGCACGGACGTCCATCTGAGGCAGTGCGCATACCCTGCAAGTGCAGCCGCGTTGCAGTGACAGGGCTGCGCTGCTGGCTCGGCACTGACGTTAGACCTCGCCTCCACTCCGCAGTACTACACTACGACTTGACACCATCAGAGCGCCATCTGTACATATGCATACCTGTTGTCGCAATACTGCTGTCCCTCGTCTCTCCGCTATGTGCACAGCGACAGCAACCCATTGCCCGACTTGGCACCAGAGAGCTCGATTTTGCCAGCAATCCTTTGGATTCGCAGCTGAACTCAAGCGTATTTTTTGGGTGTCGGAATGTGGCTTAGTCCCTTGCAGCCGTCTTCTGGGGCTTGCTGAGGTCCCCCAAAATAGCCCGGGCGTAGTCTGCCAAACTCGCTAGTCGAGCAACATCGTGAAGACGTCTGCACTCAATTGAGACCGCACGTACAGTATGGCAGACACCATTTGCTTGCGGAAAAAGCGACAACTGGTTGGCCAGAACAGGATGGACGCACCTGGTTTCGACTGTCGGCTTATCTGGCACTACACTGGCCTTGCACGAGGATGGAAGTCTTAAAAGCCCATTTGCTTACTGGTCAATGACAATACCAAGATGCAATCGATTGTACTGTGAACGTTTGATGCATCGACCAGCGCCGATGCCTCCAAGTACGGTCAGATCGCAGGTCGGTGTCCATCGGCATAAATCACTGTCAAATCCAGCCTGGAAAAAGTTATCGAGTGGGACTCCCCAAACAAACGAAAAAAATCTCCATCCGTGCCCCGTTCTTAGCAAACGAGCTTCTGGGAAAGAAATTATCGACCGCTGGTGGGCTTAAATCTGTATATAGTTCATACAGTTCAAAAATATGTCATCAATGAGCACAACAGCCTGGTTAGCTCAATCGGTAGAGCGTGAGACTCTTAGGTTTCACCTTCTCAAGAAGCGATTGATCCAATCTCAAGGTTGCGGGGTGAGTTCACCTCTTAAATACCCAGCATCAAGTTAGTGACTAACCATGTTACAGTTCGACCCCCGCATCGGGCTTTAGTTCCTCTTCTTTTTGCTCTATTTGACTTCATTTTGCTTACTTTGTGGTTGTGGTGCGTGGTGGTGGGTCTGCACACCCCCTGGGCCGTGTCGGGCTTAGCGATTTTTTTGCGCTTTCAACAACCATCTAGGCCGATGCAGAATTTTGAAATAACTCATTGCAGACAACTTCCAGCAATAGAATGAGGTCTTCAAGGTAGCCAATTTTGAGCCTTAAAATATCAAGGAAGTGAAATGGAGTGACACCCAAGCAGGCGGCCCAGAAAACTCAACTCCCGCGCGAGGTGACAAAAGTTTTGCCTAGCTTGTGTTGCAACATTGATCATAAAATAAAATGTAACTTGCTATAACTGTATTGTAAGGCGATTCTGTGTGTTCAGGAGCTGCTGTGGGTAACACACCGCACATGTTCACAACCATACTATGAAGATTACATCATAGCTATAATAGAGTTTGATGTCTTAACAAATGAGTCCATTTTACCTCATCAATACATTGTAGGATCTTGATACCGGCCTGATATATCATAGTACTCCTAGTAGAGTTTTAAAATTTCTGCAAGGAGCAGATGCACTGCATAACCAGGAACTAGCTCTACTGAGCCTTCATACCCACTGGACGATAAAGGCCTAAATATTGGATTATATTGATCGTGACGGAACACTTCGCCGGTGTTAGGAGCTCCAATGATCTGATATGAAGCTGAACATGTTATTCAGATGTAACTATTCGCGCTCTCAGGTGAAGACTCTTACGCTTGACAGATCTGCGTACCAATACAAACTTGACTGTTGCTTCTAGACCGGAGAAATTTAGTCGGAGAAATTCAGTCGGAGTTTATTTATGACGTCTTTAGCTTTTCCCGTGCATATAAACACAATAAGCTTAATACAATCAAGCAAGTACAAGCAACACAACCCTGCACCACGTTCTGGATAGATTAAGGACACTAGCTCACATAGGCTTAATGGCTTACCCGAACCCGCTGAAGGCACACGCCCCGGCCAGATTTACTCACACCTGATTGATGGATACCTATCACGGCTTTAGTTCGCATTGCATTTCATCCTAAAATCAAAATCGTGTTATGCAACGTCTTGTAGACACCCAATCACGCACCACGGAGTCGAAGAGTCAATCATGCAATTGGACACAGAGAAGCGAGTTGATTGTTGACTGCAACTGCCTCTTACCCCTCTGCTGCGCAACTCTGTCAATAGGCTAAGTATGTTGAAAGGTTCAGCGATCGGATTGGAGGACTAAATTAACCTCGCGATTCGAGGTGGAGAACCCAGTGGCATTTTGATGGACCAGTCCATTATACACCAATACGAGGAGGAGTAGATCAACCTTAAAAGCGAAGGACATCACTGTCTTCCCCAGATTCACCAAGCACGCTTCTTCGAATCGTTGTAGCGCTCAAACGAAGCTTGACTCACAATCGCCCACTATGGTATCTTTCGCCACCGCATTCGTCACGCTCATAGCTGCCATTGGCGTCGTCGGCGCTCCCGTTGATCAGGCGACGGAGTCTACTCTCTCCAAGCGCAGCAGCCCCAACGCCCAGGGTACCAACAACGGCTTTTTCTACCAATTCTGTACGTAACCACATTCCACCCCTAGTAAGGCCCTTTACTGACAGACCACGCAGGGACCGATGGTGGTGGCGGAAGCGCCACCTATACCAACAAGGCCGCGGGCGAGTACTCCGTCTCATGGCAGAGCATCTCCGATATGACGTCCGGTAAGGGCTGGAAGAATGCGTCGCCTCGAAACATCACTTTCAAGGGCAACGTGAACGCCCAGGGAAATTTCTATCTCGCTGTATACACCTGGTCGCAACAGGGCGAGAACTACGTAAGTCAAGTATGTGTCGTCTGTGGAGATATAGTCTCATACTTTCACAGATCCTCGAGAACTATGGCTCGTACAACCCCTGTAGCCAGGGCCAAAAGGTTGCTACGATAAACAGCGACGGGAGCAGTTATCAAATTTGTACCGTCAATCGGGGCAACAACTACATTCAGAACTGGTCTGTACGACAGAACAAGCGTTCTAGTGGGACTGTGACGACTGCGAATCATTACAATGCTTACGCTGCTCATGGGCTAAACCATAATCCGCTCAGTGCGGCTGCTTATCAGATCGTTTCCACCGAGGGGTACGGTGGCTCTGGTTCGGCTGATATCACTGTGTCTGGCACCTCGTAGGAATAGCAACTATGTCTTAGGGCAACGAGCTATACGAAATTACCATCAATGTATTTTTGCCCAGAAAGCCTATAAGAACTAGTTCCTTCGTACCTAATGAACCTTTGTACCTACTGGATGATAAGGGTCAAGATATTGGGTCATGTCGATCATGACAGAGCGTTCCACTGATGTTTACGAGCTTCGCTGGTCTAATATGAAGCTGAAAGTGGCCTTCAGATGTAATCAGTCTTAGCATGTCGCCATAGTTCACTACAGACGCGCACACTTCAGTCCGTGAGTCTGGTTGGACATATATACCTATTGGCTAGTTCGCAGGATTCAATCAGCTCAAGTACCTAGAACAATGCCGAGTCCACTAGACGCTCCCCCAACATGCACGACACCAAACACCCTAATATGACACATCTTTCCAGGGGTTGCAGCAACACTGTCCTTCGTCCTTGACATCCATGTCACCGCATCGTGCAGGATATCTAGGTACATAAGGGCTAGGATCTCGACACTGAGACCTTTGCGTTATCGCCCGGACTTTGCTGCCGATTGAAATATGCGCTATACCTGGTGCGTGACATTATACACGATAACTACTGACCTTCACCACGTCAATTCACCCTCGCATGAACACTCACAAACACGACAAAGTATGTTGAAGATAAATATGGTTTGCACAGACCAGCCGATCACTCCTTGTACCTTTGTAGAGTCTCTAGTTCCATTTCCTTAGTACCACATTCCGTACTCTGTCGTGCATGTCGCCCCCTCTAACCCTTTCAGCGCATTGTCATACATGCAACTCTTACACTCTTCCACACATTGCGCAGGACTCCAAGTATCGCCTCCTTCATCGTCCCAAGCGGGCGTCAGGCTCCACTCACGGCCCGCGCACGTGTAGGTAGTCCATGCGGCTGTTGTACGCTGTCAGCCCTGGGAATGATACTCGAAAAAGATGTGGTAATTTACGGTTTTGGACAAGATAATCGACGCATTTGACGAGGTCGGAGGTGCTCCAGGAACTAGGGGTGCCGCTTGTGCAAGTTCGTGTCGAAGGCGAATAGACAGCTTCGGATATGGGTGTTGCAGGGACGCTCGCGGATGTTGCGACCACGGTAGCAACAACAGCATTGAGACTAAAGCGGAGTAACATGACGTTGAATTGCGCGACGATTCTGCAGAGAAGTTATGTTGGCTTGATGAGCGGATTTTCAGTATGCCCGGATCTTACAATATTCCAAGTTGGCCACGAGCTAATATCGGTATATGCGAAGAACGACCGCATTCGAGATCCTCATGGAGGCATGCTCTTATAGAGAATTGGCAACAGGATATAGGCTAAATGTGTGTCTGATTGCCGATGATGACCCGCCCATACTTAGGGCTGACATGTCCTCGAGCATACTGCAATTGGTGGCGATACGAACATATGCACATACGTTACGAACCTCGCTAACCTACAACATCACTTGCCAAGCAAAGATAGTATTCCAAACCTCAATCCTGAGTATTAAGTACTATTTGAGAATCTCCAATTCTAATAGAACTTATGAGGATATTTCATCACTAAGAGAGATAAATAATATCTACTTTGCAAAGTGAGTCGCTAGCCAGCTCTTCATTCTGCTCACAATCTCATCAGGTGCTTCATACGGTACCCAATGGGCCGCATCAATCATTTCTGCTTGCTCAAGCTGTGGCAACAGCCCGCCTTGAATCGCTGGATACATGACCTCCGGACGACATACGGCATCATCCTTGGCGCCAATATACAGCAATGGAACTTCCACCTTGTCTGCACCTGCCGGAAGGTTTTTATCGCACTCGTGTTGAATATTCTCCGTGGTTGCTTTATACCAGCACTGGGCACCCTCGAATCCATCCCGAGTCATGCGGTCGACGAAGGCTTGTTTGAAGTGAGGATCTTCAGCATAAGGACGTAATTTGATATCAACACCTCCGTTCGTCAGATATTCGCGCATGGCGTTTGGTCCTGTGAACAGCGTCTTCATGGTATCGGCCGAGCCATGCATTGCGTTGTACAGGCGGTCGACATGGGCTTTTAGTATTTCTGGCCCGTCCTCGGCAGTGAAGAGATACCAGTAGCTGAAGCTTGGGTAGCCAAATATTGTCTGACACATCTGGTTCGTAGCGTCCAAGTCGAATGGCTGACGACCAGGACTCATGTATGCTACATTGAGAAGCACCATACCGACAACACGGTCCGGATGATAGTTGTACAAACGAGCGGCACAACCCGCACCCCAATCATGGCCAACAGAGATGACCTTCGTGAACTTTTCCGTGTCGATAATCTCCACGAGATCGGTTGTCATTGCTTTCCAATTGTATTCCGCTGGGTCCGTGGGTTTATCTGTACCTCCATAGCCCAATAAGTCTGGGATGATCATCGGGTGTTTCGTAGAGCGTAGGGATGATGCCACGGCCTTCCACATCTCAGCATGATCGGGCCAACCATGCTGAAAGAAGAGGGTTGGGAGAGCGCTGTCACCATCCGCCGTGTAGTAAGTGTAAGTGTAGCCACGAGACGTCTTGATAGTCTTCTTCTCGAATCCGTCCATTATGCCGGCCTGGTGGTAGTAGACGACTTGGTTCTGGTCGTGGTCTTTAATAGGCCAGAGGTGAGGTGGCAAATAATATCCTAGATAGCGATTGTGAAAGTACGCGCATTAGCGATGCGGACGATAAAATGA